GATACTTGGTTTGTTTTAAGTATCATTTGATACTTAGTTTTGTTTTATATTTTGTTTTAAGTATCGCTTGATACTTAATTAGTTTTACCAAAGTGTATTGACTGATACCTTTGATTAGTTTCGTTCATGCTAGATATGAACAGATTTGTGTATTTAAAGACCGCCTGATTCCACGATGGAAAAGGCAGACTTCGACAGACAGTATTTCAATATACTTGGTTGAATGGTTACTTCTTTGTTCCTCAGTACACCTGCGAAGCCTCCTTTAGTTCTCAGCTCTCACCTCCTCTCGGGAAGAGCAGGCCACCTGCCAACTATCGTATCTATTACCGATAACGTGATTAGCTCCTTGCGAACACATTACATGTAAGGTCTTGCTGAGGGATTTGCTTCCCACTCCTGGTCGTCAATGGCTCTATGTTGGTTTTGAGATGAAGCTGAATGTGCAGTGATTCTGCCGCTTCTCGCTGCTAGCATTCTGAGGTGGCTATCGATAGGTTGATCAGGCCTAAATTTAGAAACAGGTTCTTAACCACTTGCTGAGGTTAAAACAATATAACGTGTTCGTAAGGTGCTAGTCACGTTATCGGTAAAGATATAATAGTTGACAGGTGGCCTGCTCTACCAGAGAAGAGGCGAGAGCTGAAAACTAAAGGAGATTTTGAAGGTGTGCTGAGGAACAAAGAAGTAGTAGTTCAAGCAAGTATATTGAAATACTGTCTGTCGAAGTCTGCCTTTTCCATCGTAGAATCTAGCAGTCTTTAAATTCACAAATCTGTTTATGTCTAGCATGAACGAACGTAATCAAAGGTATTAGTAGATACGCTTTGGTAAAACTAATTAAGTATCAAGCGATACTTAAAACAAAACATAAAATACAACCAAGTATCAAAGCAATACTTAAAATAAAATATAAAGTAAAACCAATAACCGAGTACCCATACTGGTTACATTACCTACCTAGAATGACATTCACTATTAGATCTGTGAAGAGACCTATTAATGTTACCTGATATCAGGAGCGTTTAGACTGGAGATATGAATATTGGTTTCGTGTTTTGTGAACAGCTGAGTCCATCTTTTCAACTGCTGGCTTCAGGAATAGGCCCTGGGTAACACAGAAGCTGGAGGAGTTTCACAAAGATTATATCGATGAAACATTCGAGTCCGAACGTGCAACACAAATGGTCAGGGGATGTTTTTGTAGTACCGTGAGATCTAAATTTGTCCTTATTTCTCCAAAAGTGATTGTTGATTCCACCCTTTATGTTCGGAATGTGATGTATGCTCACCTAATACCCTTCTGGCATAATTGCTGTAAAAACTATGGATGGGTAATGGTAGTGGAGGATGGGGTGCCAGGTCAGAAGGGTTTCGCTAAGCAGTATCGGGATCAGAATGAGATTGAGACTATGAAGTGGCCAGTGCAGTCACCTGATCTCAATTTGATTGAGGTCTTATGGCTTAATATGGAGAATGAGCTGGGAGAAATCTGGGCCAAATCAGCGATCTTCAAACATTGGAAACTGCACTCAACGCGGTTTGGAATACAATTCCCAATGATAGGCTTGAGAGTCTCATCAGAAGTATACCTGAACGTTTACAAGCTGTAATAGATACTGAAGGAGGGTCCACAAGATATTGATTCATGTAGATTAGTTCTTATGAAGGGTGGGTTTTTTTTTTTATATTATACTATAATAGACGTATTCATTGGATATCACTCATGGTATATCCCTTTCTGGAAGTGGCACTCACTTTTTGCCGATACCAAAACATCCTCATCTGCTATCACTCGAACTTCCTAATCTGGCTTGGTCTCCATAGAAATGCCACATGTTCTTTTGGAAGTGGTCCCGATTTTTTTCAACCCCCTAGTACAGTACCGTACCGCCGAACGGAAAATCGTCTCCCCGGTTGAAAAAATAGGACTGCACGGCTGATCATGGTAAAAGTATTTGCGCGACTTAGACCCCCGAACCTCCCAACTCTAATACCGTAGCGCGCGTATAATCCGAGGGTTTAGTACCAGCTAAGTTAGTCCCCGCACCGTTAAAGCACTCCAGAATAACAACTCGAAAGTTGGCCACCGCGAATCCCTTCAATCAGTAACCATCACATGTGCTCTAGAGCACGGATTTGCACCGACAGTCAGAACCACACAATTGAGAGTGGTCCTTCTCCCACAAGTCCCGCTTTAGACCAGCGCTAATTCCCAAAGACCTTGCGGTACCATACCCAGCAGCACATTATTAAGCGGTGCGCGGCCAGGCGATGTAATCGGCGCAGATATGAATGCGGCCGTTGATGGTGCATGGAGCACCTGCAGGATCGTTCCGGTTCTGACCCGACGGGTCAGTGGGTACGAGTAGATATTTCTCAAGACTGAGTACGGCGGTGCCGTCTAGGGAATGCATGCGCTAGGTTGGTATTTAATATTTCCCCGCCACCGTTGGTCATGCGGGGGTAAGTTCCGATTCTCCGGCTCCTTCGTTAACTACGGTATATTGGGCACTGGTCAATTACCGGATGTACTCGCATTCCATGATCGGGCTTGTATGCGGTATGTTCCATGTACAACTGGTAAGGGTGTGAGCAGTTTAATGCTCTATATTAATCAATATTTAAACTAGTACTGTCTCCCTTTAGAGCTGACTTCCAAGGCCACCTGGCAGCACTATCCCAATCATGCTGCCTATTAAGTCCCCGATGGTCCTTTTTCTTTCACATTCTACTACTATAATACAGTTCTCCCAAGCCCGATCACCTTCACCGTAGAGCAAAACAACCTTGACAAAGACCAACACCCCTGGACATCCAGAAATCGACTTCGGCAGCGGGCTCCCCGACTCCAGTATTGGAAGTGCTGTGACAATCCGCCTGGGTGTGGAGAAAAGGAAACGCAAAGTCCGACTGGGGGATCACGACCGGCCCTGGAAGAGCAGGTAGCGAGTACTAGAGTGCGGGCTTCTCTAGGCTCATTTCCGAAACCAGCGTCGGCAGTGGTTTTTTTTTCTCCGCTGTTGAATTCTATCGTAAGGCAGAGTGTGCGAAGGTTTCGGGGGGGGGGGTGAAGTAGTTCTGATTTCCAGCTCGATCAGTGCTTCTTCCAGGGATATACTCTCCCTCTCTCCCCGCGACACAAGCTGATTCCTAAATTGATAGCGATGAGCAACCCTAGCAGAGCACGTCCCCGCTACTCACAAGTACGTCTTGTATCCACGACGAATTCTACGGATGGCGCATGAACCCGAGAGGCTTATCCGATCCGCATCGCCAGCGCAAAAACAGTCCGGTACTCCCAGGCTAGTATCCACCCTACCAGGAATCAAAACGTACGCCTGGTTGTCAAGAACACCAGGCACGGCTTTGGCGGATGTACTGGGGGTGGGTGTACGGGTTACTGGATTCGGGGTGGGCACGGGAGGGGAGCTGAGGGATATCTACGCTTTTCCTAAGGGGTCTGGGCTGTGGTACTGTAGCTAGTGCGGAGGGGGCGGCATGTACTCTTGTACTTTTAGGTGGGGGTGGTAGGCGCATGTGCAGATGGTTGAAGAGAGTTGGATATTCCGGGGGGGTATATTCAAGGCCGGGTGGTCAACCCACCGCTAAGAAGTATCCTAGGAACGCGCGCGGACTCTGTCCTCTCACTCGACGTAGTCGTGGCCACCAGCCACTTCGCCACCGCTAGCAAAGACAACCATCTAGATATATATCCCTTTGCTAGGGTGGCAGGACCGAGTGCTCCATAACCAACCCCTTGTAAAAAGAAACTACAGTACCGGCGAAATCCAGCAAGCCCGATGAAACAGGCACTTTCGACACCATAACCCCCATACTCTGACCGCGGGCACCTTCGTGTGACATGCAAGCCGCGGCAACCAGAAACCTATGATACATAGAACACGCCGACTTCTACCAAGTTGCAAAAGTCTACCCCCCCTCTCCCCGAAACACGCAGGCAAAGCGATCTATCGTACAGCCGCCGGACCATTAGCAAAAGGCAGAACCCTCCTGCAACCAACCAACCACCACCAAAGCCGCAGACCCCGTGGGGGGAAAAAAAAACAACCCCAGCCAGCTTTCCACGGGATCGGATGGGCGCCCGGAATACGTAAGTAGTGTCTAGACCATCCCCCCGAGAGGACTTTCTATCGAGCGCGGGGATAAATTTTAGAAGACATAATAAGAGGCGTGAAGAAAGAGAACATCGGCACATTCCCGATTGTAGGGCTTAACATAGTACCAACGTTAACCCCGGCGTTGAGGGAGACGGAAATGCACGCCATTGTCATACCAGAATCGGCTAGAATACGGGCATTCGTACTCTGGATTCACAAGTGCAGGGTGTGTCGCTGGGCATGGGGGGTTACGTTGGCGTGGTAGGATTTGTGATGGGGGTAGGGTAGGTTGGAGGAGCTGATGCTTGTGGGTGGTTTCTCGGACCAGCATCGGTGAACTGGACCGTCAACAGGCGTTCCGGGGGGGGACAGATTATCCAAGGCTGTAGAGGATTAAGCAGTGGTATGACCCTGCGGGGATGTTCTTTGCTGAGACCGCACGTCTGTCTTGCTCCGGGCCCAGGGATGGGTTCTGGCTTAGATTAGTTGCTGGCAGTTTATAATCTGTCGGTGTGGAGGATTGGAAAATTGGGTTCCGGAGGATCGATCCATTGTGCCTTGCACGGCTATGAGGCCTGCGCCATTCCTATCGGGATGGCAATGCTGGCTTTTCAAGCTTCGGGGAGACTGGGAGACTTAACTTAGCCCCCGGTAGAACTGGTGAGAAAGATCTTTTTGTAGTGAGGATGCAAAGGGTAGTGATATGGGTAGCTACACCAACTACTTCTCCGAGCCTCGGGCTTGGGAGAGCCATCAGTATAGTCACGTGAAATCACTCGCTGGTCCGCTCCACTACAACAGGTACCAATGCTATCATTCCAAATTAATAGCGATTTTTCACGAGCCACTTACATAAACGCTTCCAGATCGGAACTAACATTACAATATCAATTCCCGTATCATTAATCCAACACATAATATCGTACATCGCCCATCTACCACCTCACAAACCCACAATCTACGGCAAAATCTTGGGATCAAACGGCAAAATATACCTCCCATTAACAGCCTCGGTAACGGTGTACATTAGCCCAGTGGTTTTGTCATAACTCAGATCCTCCGGCCCCTCCGGCACCGCATTAGCGGCAATTTTAGCAGTGCTTCCAGGAACCCAAGAAATGAAATCACCATTCGACCTGCCATTGCTCCTGGAGATGTAGAACTTGCCGTTGACGGAGTTGACACCCTGCATGCGGTCGATGTTGACTTCATACGCCCAAGTGGCGGTGGCGACGCCGGCAGAGTCGGTGATTAATTGGCGGTTGGTGTAGTCGATGCTCCAGCGGATGAAGCGGCGGGGTCCAGTGTCTGAGGCGGGTTGGTACTCACCGACGAGGAGGCTGTCCGGTGTTGTTGTGCGGTCCAGAGAAACGAAGGAGAAGCGAACGCTTGGGGTGGGGGGGTTGGTTTGGGTGTAGGTTCTGGTCAAGCAGTTAGCATGAATTTCCGCAAGAAGTAAATAAGAAAGGGAGCTATACCGGCTCTGCGGCAAAACATAAGCATAATTCGCGGCTGAGAACCCCCCACTAGATTTCCTTCCGATCCCATCGCCCGTCTCAACCTTCCAAATCTGCGTAAGATCAAACACCCTAAAGCCCTTATTCGTATCGACGATATACAACGAGTTCCCGTACCAGGCGATACCCCCCGCATGTACATTCACAGCCCTAAAATCCGCCGTCCCGGCATTCAAATACGGCTCCACAAGCAGCACGTAGCGGTAGGCATCAGGGCTCTTATCCCTATCCACAAAGGCGATCCGAACGCCCTTATTCTCCGCGGCGGGGACATCGCGATTATCGTACCAGCTTACCAGTGTTACACGCTTGCCTTCGTACGTGCCGACATCGTACGCATCGGCGGAGGTGCTTACGCCTTGCGGGTACCAGGAGGTCGTGCCGAAGTCGTTGAAGGAGGCAGAGTTCTCCCAGCGCGTGGCTTTGTAGCTCATACCGACTGCATGCACCTCCTCGGCCACCATGTCGTGGTTCGTTGCGGCGAGAACATCGAGGACACTGGCCCCAGGAAGGAGCTGGGAGAGGGTGGCTATGTGGGAATTGTACCCGGACTCTTTGAGCTTGAAAGCTGCCTCATCGAGTTTTTCGGCAGTGGTTACTGCAGGGGATGATAGGAGGAGGAAGGGGAGGAAGGGGGAGAAGAGTAAAGACTGTAAGAGAGACTGGTAGAACATAATGAATGCAATGCTTTAAGGAAAGCTGCTGGAAGCTATCGGTATCGCAAAAAGCGAAACTCGATTCAGATGGATTCCTCCCCCTCTTTAAACTCTCCCCAATCCCCACCCCGCTCCGCGGAACAATACGAGTACCCAGCATATCCAGCGCAGCGTCCGACAATCCCTCAGCCCAAAGAAGCAAGAAATCACAAGAGCGCACTCAAGCCCCACATCTAGTCTCGTATCCCAATCTCGGTGCTGCCGAAGATCAGCTACTCAATCGTGCAGGACAACAAATTTGATTGAACCATATCGGTACATTGCAACAGCGCCGGGGAACTCGCCGCGCAAAAAAAAAACCCTAAAAAAACCCCAAA